GTGCCCGGTGTAGCAGTTGGCTGGTTGTCTGGAAGTAGGAAGTCTAAGGGCAGTCTAGGCTTGAATGTCAGTTGTAGACTGTTAGGACTCGTCCCTGTAGCACTGTGTATAGCGTTGTTATATAGACTGGCGACTAGAGCAAGCTTCTCGTCCCAGTCTACCTGATTGGGCTTGATGTAGTGTCTCAATAGGTGTTGCATAGCACGGTTCACTTGTTCAGCCTGCCCATTAGGTTCTGGATGATTTTCAGAAGTCATCTGCAGTTGAGTTCCTTCTTCAGCTGCAGCGGCCTTCCACAATTCACTCGTGAACCTGACGTCCCTGTCACTGACTATAGACTTTGGCAGTCCAAAGTCTCTAACCCAGTTCTCTTTAAATAGCCTGATCACGTACTCGGTCTTCGCTGTTTCTGACATAGCTATTAATCTAGCAAACTTACTAAACCTATCCACGATGACAAAGATATGTCTCATCCCACTCTTGCTGGTGACCAGCGTATCCATGAAGTCCATGGATAAACTTTCACCCGGCCTTTCCGGAATTGGAAGGGGCTTGAGCTGTGTTTTTTTTTTTTTTTTTTTTTTTTTTTTTTTTTTTTTTTTTTTTTTTTTTTTTTTCTTGCTCTGTGGCACCTGTTTTGCAATACGCTAGGTGCATACATTTGCTCCTATTATACATCTTTATGGCAAACCACACGGTTATTGAGGGCGTTCAGTCTTCGACCCTCCCTTCTGTAACTGGTGGTGGTGTCTACCACCCTTTTTTGCAGATGGGTGCTCCTCGTAATGTCCCGCACTCGGTTGGCGTTGGCTTCATGTCAACTTCGGAAATGCCTATTCCTGGTCTTCCTCTCATTCAGCAAACACCGGCGGTGTCCCAGTTGCGGTCTGCAGACAACAGTAGAATTGCTTTGCACAGGCAATCTGAAGAGGGACCCTCTCGTCGGCAGCCCTCCGTTGTTCTAAATACAAACATGGTTGTGCTGAGGCGACACCCTGCACAGTCCTCAAGGTAGCAACAACAACAGCAGTCGCAAAAAAGGAAGAAAGTTGTGATTAGACCGCCTGCTGCAGAAGAGCGCAGTCCATAAGGGCGAGGCAAGAGGGCACGCAAGGGAAGTGGGGTTCTGGTGGTAAAGGGAAGAGATCCGCAGACACTACCACTGTTGTGGTGGATCTTGAAGCAGAGTCTGCAGGTGCGACACCTCTTGAGAGGATGTGGAGCAGGCTGGTTTCCTTGAATGTGAAGAAGGTCAATGAGGATATCTTGAGCTTGCCAATGTCTTGCATGATCCGGCCTCCTATAGACACTCCCGATGGTCGGAGATCAAGGGAGGTCAGATTCCCCGCAGAGTACCACGTCAGGGTCCACATGGGGTCTATGGAGAGGGCGCCCTATGGGGACCACTTGCCTTATGTGGGCATGATTGACCCTGCCGTGTGTACAGTCGTCGATCAGGTGGATGTGCAGAAGCTGCGGTCAGGGAGCTACACCATTTGGATTTTGGGCGGCAGTCATTGTCGTGAGGCACGCAGCTGTTTGATGGTGAAGCACCCTCAAGTTGACTTCTACAAGAGGTATGTTTGCTATGTGTACGTGGGACTTACTGTTGAGGAGTCCCTACTGGTTGGCCATGAGCATAACAATTCTGATGGTTATCACAAGAAGTTGACTTTCGTTCAGAGGATGCGTTGCTAGAGGGACGTTTTCAAAAGGATGGGGTGTGAGAAATCAAATGAGGCCAGGAGACGCTTGGTATCCCGACTTTTTCATGGAACCAGATTGGTCCCTGGGATCCTTAGCTTCCAATCTGCATGAGAGGGCCAGAAGTTTGGAGTCTGTTGTCTGACATTTTTACTTTGTGGGAGCATGCCAAGATCAAAGATGTGAAGATGAAGAAGGGTGTGGGTGGTAAGAAGGTGAAGTCTCTTGAGGTTGCTGAGTCGAGTGCATATGGCAGTGATACAGGGAAAGGAAAAAAGGGTGGAAGGTCAGCGAAAAAGAATAAGAAGGATGTTTGTCGAAAGCCCCTTTCTCTCATAGCTCTCAATCCTCTCATGTACGTCTCTGAAAAGAATGAGATATTGAGTGAGCCTACAGTTATGCCTTACAAGCCTCTGTTGGGGATGGCTGGGCTCGATGATGCTTAGGTGATCCCTATCCTCACAGAAGTTAAGAGTGGGGTCTTGTCACTTGACGAGATGAACCCCAAGTTCACGCTTCTTAAGGTCCGTCAGAGGATAGCAACTGCATTCGTGGAAGGGGTAGGGGCAGATAGTTGGGAGGTTGCCAAGGAGGAGTTCCCTGTGCATACGCGGGAGGCTATGTTGTCGCAGTACTATAAGTTGTATGAGAGGAATGTCAAGGAAACTCCTCTTGCTATGCAGCTCTACATTGCCAAGGCCCTCAACTACAGGGACAGGCTTCAACATTCACAGCAAGAGGAGCAAACAGCAGCAACACACGATCCTAAGGGCCTCCTTACAAACTGGACTGCTTTTGAGGGGGAGGGCTATAAGGGAGCCGTGAAGGTGGCGTACTGCAACATGCTTCAGCTACCAGAGAAAATGGAGGACATTATGGACTTCCCATGCGGCTACAATACAGAGGGTTCTGTGGATGATGAGGAGCGGTTCAGTAAGCCTCAGATAGAGGGCAGCATTGAGAGCTTCAAGAAGATCACATGTGCATCATATTGGGTCATTGCTGGTTTCTGCTCCTCTGACATGCTCACTGACGTGCAATCTGCATTTTCAACTGTTTGTAATTGTGGGGTGGAGGTGGGCATTTGGGTGGCCCCCAACATTAGTACTTCTGCAGGTCTCAAACTCACTAATTGCTGGCAGCATTGTGTTCTTGGTTTTCATAGTCAGAGCGGCTCCAGGGAGCCCTTTCAGTTTCAGTTCAGCGACTCTGACACCAGGATGACCTGCTGGAGTCACTAAAGGCTTTAGCCCTGATGGTTTCTATTGTTTTATTAAGGTTTTCACCGACTTTTATTGAATGACCGTTTAACGAAGGTACTGAGTATCTATTTTGGAAGGTTGGACAAAGGTTGGGGTTTGCATGACTAAAGCAAGGGGTATAACTATAGCAAATGGTTGAAGTTGACCCCGTGTAGTATGTGGAATTTTGGTTGATTCTTTGATGTGATTGAAGATATGTTTTGTGATTCGGACTTTTGAAATTGACTGTCTGCGATCACATACAGGAGTCTCACTGTGATTGTGAGAAGTGACCGTCATATATTTATTCCCCTCTATGTGTATATGCACATACCTATGTTTGAGTGTTCGCATGGCCTAAAGAGCCCATGCTTAAGGATTTAATTGGGGTTGAGATTGAGAGAGGAAAGGAGACTCCCTTCCTTCACCGTTTTGCTTCTTAAAATTTTTTTGTCGGACGTTGGTCCTAGACCTGGATTCGAGGTCCTTGTCAAGGATGTCCCAGGTCCCATACTCCGCGCGGAAGGGATCACCCCCCGCGCAGAGCCTATTTGCCCTGTCTGTCGGGTCACTCAGCCTAAGGGTCGAAGGTACCGCAAGGGTCAAACGACTGTTCCTTCAGCCGTGCAATATCGTGAAGGGGTCGACCCTCACGATATTTCGAGATTGACACTTGAGTGTCATAAGCTGTACTCGGATCCACGAGGGACCGCTTGATTATGGGCACTACATTGTACGCCATCATTGCGATTGTTTGCGTATTCATACGTTGCTAGTCGCTATGGGAAGACTCTGCATCCGCGCGGTTTTATAAAAAGTTTCGCGCGCGTCGCTTATCCGATTTCCGTATCGGAAGGTTATGGGACGGCTAAAAAAGGGACTAGGAGTGTTGTTGTGTTGTTTGTTTTGTGTCGTTCCATGTGTGTGTGTGTTTTATTTTTATGTTTTAGTGGTGTAACGAGTGGTGAGTGAGATGCGTCCTAGTCGACCGACGACGAGTCGCGCTTGGGATTCCAGCCCCCCAGTGCATCGATTCGCATGCGTGTCCGATAGAGGCGTGGGATCGCGTGTACCCCCTATGCTACATCGAATGAGAAACGCCCTTGGCTGGTCCACCTCTGCGATTGCAACTGATTAACTTTCATACTGTGGACTGGTAGCTCGGCGGGATACGCCTACTGAAGAGAGTTGATAGCTCCCGCACGTGGAGGTAAAGTTGTACCTCGCGTTGGCCCTATCCTTTCATAGGGGCTCGCGAGAGGTATGCTGGTGCACTAGGCCGGAGCAGCTTGCGGAAGCTCCATATGTATCATGACGAGAGTAAACCAACTTCTCCGTGACGCGGCAGGGAGGGTCCCGCACTGCGCGGGACCGATGCGCTCGACAACGCCCCCCACTTTTTTTCGGGGTTCAGTTTCACCTGATCATTGGTCCTTATTTTTTCCAAAAGTCCCGGTTCTACCTGAGCTAGTTGTAGGTAGTCCGCAATTTTGCCAAGGACTGGTGCCCCAAATGTTTTTGCCCCCTAAGAACCCACTTTGTGTCCTGGTCGCCCGCCGCAAAAAATGCGACACCTTGACACAGACCTCGAAGCCCATTGACTTACTGTGAGGGCACAGACGAGCAGCCGATAGTTTGTATATCCTTGATTGATAAACGGGGCGTTATTGGCGAGGTTTAGAAGTAGGCTGATTGTTGCATGAAAAAAAAATAGTATTTATGTGTATATGTCAAGATTAGTGTGTGTGTTTGTGTGATACTTAGGGTGTTTGTGTTTATCACATCTGTTAGTATTGGAATGTGTGACATACCTTGATTGATAGTTGATGTCGAGGCTAGTGGTCCTTCAATCTTTGTCCAGATGTCGTATATGTATGTGCTTGCATGTTTGTTGTCGTAAGTTTTTTATTTTATTAAATAAAAGTTGTTTTGTCACATGTGACGCACTCAATCGGGCGTTGAACGTGTGGGGCGTTGAATTGACTTACCGTGAGGGCATGGGTGCGCAGCCCGAAGTTTGTATATGCTTGATTGATAAACACACACACACACACACAGAGAGAGAGAGAGAGAGAGAGAGAGAGAGAGAGAGAGAGAGAGAGAGAGAGAGAGAGAGAG